TGTGTAATGGTAAGTCACGACATATTCGTCGTCGACATAATACCGTAAGGCAATTGTTGTCAAACGGAATAATCTCAATAGATTATATAAAATCTAAAGAGAATATTGCGGATCCGTTAACAAAAGGTTTGACAAAAGAGCTAGTGTATAGTTCATCGAAGGGGATGGGATTAAAGCCTATTACATAAGAGTCGTCATAATGGTAACCCTACTTATATGACTGGAGATCCCAAGGACGATAACAGAAGTGAAATACGAAATTTCTGAATGGAAAACATCAAATGAGGGTGGTCCTATTTATAGATGTGAAGGTGGCTCTTGGTTTTGAATTGAACAGGTATCATACCTGTTGGGTTTTGAATTCAAACAGATTTGAATTAATTCAAACAGATAGTAAAACGGGAAGGGCCCTGTTTGGGTGTGCACTATTTCCAAAACATGATGTCATCTTCAAGATCACTTTTCCTTGTCCAGCCACAGTAGAAGTAGAAGAATTTCCCATGAAAAGTTGTTCCCCATTTGCAGCCTCATTGTAGGTAGTGAACATCTTCTTGTCCGCACATATGTGACGAGTTGCTCCAGTGTCAACCCACCACTCTTTGGGATTTCCAACCAAGTTAGCCTCAGACACCACAGCAGAGAGGTTGATGTCATTCACTCCGTCAGAGATGTAATCCAATTCTATTACATTGACTTGATTGGTGGTCTTCTTACTTGTACTTCCATGATCCTTCTTAGGGCGGCGGCAGTCAGAAACTCGATGTCCAGTCTTGCCACAGTTATAGCATTTTCCTTTGAACTTCTTGTTGCCATTGTTGTCGCCTTGTTTAGGACCATCTCCAGTAAACTTCCTCTTTTTGTTATGTGGTTTATGAACTTGTTCAACCACATTAGCCTTGGACTCAATGGGATTTTTCACATTCCTCTTTTCATCCTTTCGGTTATCTTTCTCAATTCTTAATCTTATAATCAACTCATCCATGGTCGTCTCTTTGCGTTTATATTTTAAATAATTTTTGAAATCTTTCCAAGCCGGTGGTAACTTTTTCACTAAAGCAGCGACTTGGAATGACTCGCTAAGAGACATACATGCTGAATAAATATCATGCAAAATTATTTGAAAACTTTGAACTTGAGAAATTACGGTTTGGGAGTCTACCATAACAAAGTCCAGAAATTTACCGACGACAAATTTCTTCGTGCCGGCATCCTCTGTCTTGTATTTCTTCTCCAAAGAAGCCCACAATTCTTTTGCTGACTTCAAAGGACTGTATACATTATACAGCATGTTGTCAAGGCCATTGAGGATGTAGTTTCTACATAGGAAATCTGAATGTTTCCAAGCATCTACAGCGGCAACAACTTGCCTATCATTTTCACCCTCTTTAAGTGCTGGAGCCTCTTCATGGAGAAACCAGGCCAAATTAAAAGTTGTAAGATAGAACAGCATCTTCTGCTGCCATCTCTTAAACTCGGTACCATTAAATTTTTTCGATTTTTCTCTGTGATTGATTGGTACATGAACATGGTTCTGGATCGGTGTTGGTGTAACAATAGGAGTACCACTACCAGATGCAGTTTCAGTTGCAGTAGCCATAATCTCTGATTACAAAAATCAGAAAAAATTAAAACACAAATTAATTTTCTAGTTACTAAAACCAGAAAATAAATTATAACACAAAATAATTTTATTTTCCTTGTTACTAAAACTAGAAAAACAAAATATCACAATAATTTTCTGTAACACAAATTAATATTCTACAATTGTTAATGACACCAGTATATTACTACTAGTTGTCAAAGAAAAGAGATAGTATATTACTACTATCTGTCAAATAGCATAAACACTATTTGTTTTTCCAACCAGAATATGTCTTTATGAAATTACAGAAAATTAAATACAATGAAGATTCCAAAAATGGGTTTGTCTTAAGATTGTAGGACAATCTTCATTGTATTTAAATAAATTAAATTCTGTTGTGTACTAAACAACAACCAGAATATAAAGAAATAAAGGATATGAGAGAATTTGTTTGATTACAAAAATCAAACTCGAAATAAAAATAAATAAATAAATAACAGATTTTATTTTGTTACAAAAACAAAATTAAAATCTGAATAAATAAACAAATAAAACCAACACTGAAAGTAATTAAATAACTTACTTGATTTAATTTCTTCGAATTATAATCTGATCAAGTCCAGTGTTTGACACTGTGTCCTTAAGACAGATTCGTCCTCTCCACGGTGCTTTCAGAAATTGGACGTCTATCTCCCAGGATGAAATGATCTATTACAAACAATAGTAGCACTACAAATTGTTTGCCTTACGAACACACTAAGTGTTTCCACTCTTTCTTTCAGAAAATAAATGCAGCAAGATGCAGAGATTTATAGCAGAGGATGGAGTACGAAAAAATTGGTGTAAAATCCAAATGGGAGGCTAGTCTATTTATAGATGTAAAGGTGGCTGCTGGTTTTGAATTGAACAGGTATGAAACTTGTTGGTTTTGAATTCAAATAGATTTGAATCTGTTGGGTTATATTTCAAACAGATAACAAAACGGGAAGGGCCTTGTATTTCGGGAAGGGCTCTGTTTGGATATACAGTAAAACCAAACCAGTTTAATTTTGAATTATGGATTTTATTTTACCAAAAAATAAAATTAAATTCAAATGTTTTTGGCCCAAAAAGATTAGTATTGGGCCGAACAAGCCCAACCCAACCCGACCGGACGGACGGCGGCGGCGGAGCGTGTGCGTGGTGATTTTTTGGTCCAATGGGTCTAGCCCATTTTGCCCATAATCTCTCCCTCTAAAACACTTGGGTACCCCTTGGGGCACACCCCAAGTACCAAACCCAAGCCTTATAAACCCATTCAAAACCTCCCACCAAATCAATGTGGGACAAGCCATTTTACAACCTTAAGGAATTTTTACCAAAACTCCATCTCTATGGAGCACACTTTGGCTTCAATTTCCCATTCACTCGATAATGGTTTTGAGCAACCAAATATACTACGTGAATCACAACGTAGCATAGAACGCGTTACCACTTTGACCCGCGTAAATCGACGCACGGGGCCCATCTAAAAAATAGACCGAACTTAGGATAAAATTCTGGTTTTACCTAGAATTTATAACCATTTCCAACAGGGGAAACTGAACTTGGGGGCTAAAATTATTAGAGTAGGCGGTGTGGAGAAGATTTTCAAGCACAATTTTAGCATTAGAGAAGGAGAGAAGTTGTCAAAGGCTTCCCAATCTTATTTATCAACAATAGCTGGTCCAATAGCAGGCCTCCTCTTCATCTCCACCTACAAGGTCGCCTTCCGCAGTGAGAGATCCATCAAATTGTCTTCTCCGAATGGGCAGGCAGTTAGAATCCATTACAAAGTGAGTCAATATATATGTTTTTTTCCATGTCTGAATTCATATCCATTCTTTCTAACATCTTAAATAAATATATAATAGCTAAGTAATGTGTATTACATGCAGGTCTCGATCCCACTAATAAAGATAAAAAGAGCCAATGGGAGCCGAGTATTAGGGGATGTAAAGAGGCCGAATACTATTCTTAGAGAATCGAGATATATACATTGCATTCGGCTCCGTCTTATATGAATTCAGAGGTATCCTAATTGGCCATAGAACCAGTTGAGCGAGGAGCCGAGTGGAGATTGGTCTGCAACAGAAGGAGCCGAGTAAATAATTGCACAGTGGACTAAAGGTGGGCCTAACCCTGAGGCCCAGAGGAAAATATAAATAGAGGAACATCAACCAAAGAGAGGTATGTGAGAACAAGTAAGCTTAACTTAAGATAGAAGTGATCAAGAGAGTAGATACTGACTTATCCGTCGGAGTGCTAATTCCGGCACCCTCAACCGGAGTGTTTATTCTTTTTCAGGTGACTAGCTGAGGATCTCGAGTGTCCCATTGGATGTAAGGAGTATTTCCAAACCACATCTCCACAGAAATACATAGAAATAGTTACTGTGGACAATTTTGATTTTTGGTTCATGGGATTCCTGAATTATCGTGGAACTTTCAAATATCTTCAACAAGCGCTCTCTCAAGCTCAATAATTACAAATTGATCAGAAGAACAATTTGAATATTGTAACAAATTAGGAGAAAAAAAAGTTGTATAAATATTGTAAAATTTTTTGTTAGGCTTTTACTTCAATGGAAAACAATTTTCTCATTAAATGGGTAGTCGATACTGTTTGCTATATATCATCATGACTTGATGGTGATTTTCTACAACCTAGAATCATTTGCATATGGAAAAAAATGCCTAGTTTCCTGCAATTTTGCTTCCCAAGATCAGAAAAGGAAACCAGTAAGTCGTTGCAATCTATAATTTGAGAGAGAACTAAATTATCAAAAAGCCTTCTAATATCATGAGCAGTAGCTTTCTTAAGCTCATAGAATTTCAACTCACTCAAAACTCAAAACCAAGCCTAATGCTTCCCCAAACACTAAATATAAAATGTTGCTCACCAATCAATTGAAAAACTCAGCCCACACTTCTCCTTAAAACCCAAGTGTTAAGGAGAAGGAAACTGAAACCTTATAACTAGCACACATGGGGCAACTCCAGGTGATGTGGGACACATTCCAACACATCCTTTATCCATACTTATTCAATTGGAAGTATTAATCCAATTCAAAACTTGAGATTGGAAGGAATTTGCTAGAGAATTAAAGGGAATTGGAGGAATTGAGCAAAAACCCACTAGGATTCAAGGAATTGAGAACTTTAGGTAAGAATTTCAATCTCTAAGCTTTGTGTTTGACTCACTCATGCTTGAGTTCAAGAGAAGTTAGAGCTTAGGAAAAAGAGTTGAGCTTAAGAACAAGAATTGAGAACAATCCATGCATTACATGCATAATTCATGGTGTTTGGAGTGTAATTACAAAGAATTCTCACATGCATGCATTGATCATAGCTTGGTTTTGGAAATTTCTTGAGTTTCATACCAGTTTACCTTGTTTGATCATGTTTTGGAAAGCTTTGAAGTCAAGAATTACATGCATGTTATGTTTTTAACCTTTCAAGCTTGAGTTTGCACAATTGACTTACTCTTGGGCCTTGATTTTGCGAAATGGTTTTGAATTCATGATGTTTTCCAAGATTAAACAAGTTTCCTTGAGTTTTTGGCCCAAGAGAACATGATTTGCAGCATTGAGTTGAATTTTGGTGCTTGGAAGCAAATTTGGAAATTTCAAACTTCTACTTCTACGCTCGAACGACAGAACCTGAGCTCGAGCGACCACTCTGTGTTTTGCACCTCTACTCGAACGACCAAAATTTGGCTTGAGCATAAAATGTATGCTCCCAGAAGTTCACATGTTTTGTAGACCGCTCAAGCGAAGGCCTCAGTCTCATGCTCAAGCGGCCGTCGAGCAGAGAATTCACACAACCTATACTTTTGTAGAGTTTATAGACCGCTCGAGTGAATGAAGTGGCGCTCGAGCGACCACTCACATTTTTTAGCCTCTGCTCAACCGAAGGAAGTTGCGCTCGAGCGACCACTTACATTTTTGAGCCTCTGCTCAAGCGAATAAAGTTGCGCTCGAGCGATGCCCCTGTTTTCAGCATATTTGCCTAAGTATTGAGCTGCATGTTTTGGCATCCTCATTGCATCCTAGGCATTCCTAAGCCATGATTAAGACATAAGAAGGAGGATAAGACTTAGAAACACATTAAGAACCAAATGAAATGAGTTAAATTTTATCCAAGTGTATGTTTCAAGTATGTATCTGTTCTATTTGTGTAGGTCACGCGCCGTAAGCTCTTTGATTTGTCTACTCTGTTGGTTTGCCTCCGAATCCATTTGTGAGTAATAACTTTGTAAAGCTATGTTTACGTTTAAGTAATTTCTTATATGATTTGATATGATAAGAAATGCTCTGTTTTCTGACATGTTATGTTCAGAATCAATGAATGATTGTCCATATATTAAAAAGTATTTGTGGCATCCTTAGCACAAGGCCTTAGCCCGGGGGTAACAATATCGTGGTCTATGAGCACAAGGCCCTTGCCCGAGGGTAATAATACCGTGGTCTCATGCCCCTTGCCCGGGGGTAACAATACCGTGGCTCAAGTATGTTACAAGTTCCTGGTACCGAAGGTTCCTTTATGGAACTGACAAGTATGACCCTTAATGCTCTGTATTTGATCTATTAACGCTATTGGATGTACCACATATGATCAAGCATGAACTCTGATTTCTATATATGATTCGAACAAGAATATGAATGTGAATCGGTTTCTGTTTTTTGAATTGTTATGGGACATCATTCATTCAACCCTTTACTCTGTTTGTTATTATTCACTGGGCTCTCACTCACTCTATTATTTATGTATGTAGGTGACCAGACGCGTGACCAGACTCAATGTCGAATGTCTAGATGTCTGTTTTTGTCAGCCAACCACAGTGCCTTCCTGAGGAGGTTCGTTTTGCCAAAGTCAAGTTTTGTGAACCACGACAGGATGTTTTGTTATTTTGTTTTTTGTTTATCTATACGCTGGGCTAAGTCCCTATGATACTATCTGTATGGTGATGCATGTCATATGGAAGTTTGACATTATTTATACATATATATGTATGTTTTAAATTTTCTATCCCATGTATGTCTACACAGCTCTATGGACATTGTATTTTGTATATTTGCTTCTGCAGTCCCTTACATTTTATGATATTTAGATCAGAGGCCTTTGGTAATCCAATGATTACTAGCCGGTTACGATGCTAAACCTGTAGGGGTGGATTTGGGTCGTGACACTAACATGCTAGTTTCCTTAAGAAGATCTAGGATATATATCTGCTGAGAAATAAAGATGATTTTGTCAGATCTGGCAACTTCAATCCCAAAAAAGTAGCTCAACGGACTAAGGTCTTTGATTTCAAATTCCTTGCCCAATAGCTTCTTAAGATGTGTCACTTCTTCTTCATCATTACCTGTCACAACTATGTTATCCATATATACTATAAGCACGGTTACCTTATTTGCATGGCGTTTGACGAACATTGTGTGATCTGCATTGCTTTGCTTATATCCGAATCTTAACTTAGCCTTCAGGAATTTGTCAAACCAAGCTCAAGGAGACTGTTTCAAACTATATAATGCCTTTTTCAACCTACAAACTTTCCCACCTATAGACTGAGATGAGAATCCTAGTTGTACATCCATATATACCTCCTCCTCCAAATCACCACGGAGAAATGCATTCTTCACATCTAATTGCTAAAAAAGCTATCCCAAATTAGCTGTACATGAAAGAATAGCTTGAATGGAATTCATCTTTGCTACAGGAGCAAAGGTTTCTTCGTAATCAATTCCATATGCCTGAGTAAACCCCTTGGCCACTAATCGTGCTTTGTACAGTTAATTGTTCCATTTGCTTTTTGCTTGATGGTGAACACCCACTTACACCCTACAAGCTTTTTTTCCGCTAGGAAAAGAAACCAACTCCCAAGTGTTATTCTTGCTTAGAGTTTGCATCTCTTCTACTATAGCTACTTTCCACTTAGGATCATTGATAGCTTTCTTCCAACCCTGGGGCATACATGCAGAAGACAAAGACGAAACAAAAGCACGATATGTAAAAGGCAATGAATCATATGACAATCAATCAATCAAATAATAGTCCGCTGACTAGGAATCAACAAAAATTGGAAAAACACTCAAGCACGCATCAAAAATATTAAAATAAAAATCTAGGGTGAAAACCCATCAAATTTCGACCATGAAGGTTTTTTTTTTCCTTTTTTTTTTTTTTTTTTTTTTTTTTTTTTTTTGCGTATAGGGAAAAACGAATGAAACAAGGAACAAGAGAAGAATCTTCAAGGAGGAAGATGAAGCTTTGATACCATGTTAGATTTGCATAAACGAAAGAAAAGAATGAGAAGAAGAAAAGAGAGAGAACTACTGCTGTGTTTATCTTTTCACTCCCAAACATATTAGGGTTACACATACTTATAATAAAAGACTAAATGAGCAAATGACATAACTATCCTTACACACTGATACGTAACACCTTACAACTATTCTTCAAAAACAACTGCTTCGACAGTTTCTTCTTCATGACGTCGATGTGGTGCCTTACAAGTAGGTAACTAATTGCAAAGAAATAGATTATTGCCATGTGTCTTTTAAACTCCTCATCTTGTATAACTTCAATTAACCTCCAGGTAACTTTTAAGTAAACAAGATGTTGCCACATATCCTGCAAAAAACAAATAATAATAATAAATATGGTCATAGTTACGCTTTAAAGATAGTTCATGGTCTCAATTGAAAGACCATAATTGATAGGCCATAATCAATGAGATTAGATTTGGCCATAATCAACAAGCCACAATCAACAAGATTGGATTTGGCCACAATCGACAAAAAATAATTTATGGTGCAAACAACATCATAGCCCCATCAACACAATTTTCCACATGTTCAACAACTTTTCAGCTCTTGAGATTTCATGGTTAGCAAGTGTTGTTGATTTTGTTCGAAATTTGTTTCCCAGTTCACTTGATTCAGTTAACATAAATTAGATGATACTAAAATGAAAGAAAACATGATTTTACGTGAAGATAGATAGGAAAACTATGTAATATGTTGAATTCTATGGGTACATAATGAATGTGCATAATTTTATCACTCATGTTGTTGGGTATAAGAATAATAAATGTTTCAAGTTCATGGGGAAGATTTTAGAAAGTTTTGCATGAGTAGAAGGATGGTTTTAGCTATCTTTTGTTGACAAGAACTCAAAAGGTTCTGTGACCAAATGGGGTGGCAAAGGCAAATGTTGTCACTACCAACAAGTACATGTGCATCAGAATTGCTTGGAGAGGAAGACAATTGGCCCGTTGTTGATTATTATGCATTTTGTGTTCTCTCAAATTATAAATTGCACCATGCAATGTACTGGTTTCGTTGCCCAATCTTGGGAAGCAAATTTGCAGGAAACTAGGCAAATTACCATCAAGTCATAAAATGATATATATCGAACAGCGTCAATGACCCATTTACTGAGAAATTGTTTTCCATTGACGCAAAAGCCTTAAGTTACAAATTTGTACAAAATTGTTATTATACAGCTTTGGTATCATAATGCATACACATCTAATGAAGCCAGCGGGTTGGTCTGTTTAGTCACTTCTGATCAATTTGTAAGCATTGTATTGAGCCTGAGAGAGTGCCCGTTGAAGACATTTGAAAGTTCCGTGATAATTCATGAATCCCATGAACCAAGAATCAAAATTGTCCATTGTATTATTTCTATGTACTACACGTGATGGTCTCTTTGTGTTTCGGCTTTCATTGGCTCCCTTCATATTTACAAGTGGGATCAAGACCTGCATGTATTACACATTAGTTAGCTCATATGTTTATTTAATATGTTAGCAAGAATGGATATGAATTCAGACATTGATTTATATTGACTCACTTCGTAATGGATTCTAACTGCCTGCCCATTCGGTGAAGACAATTTGATGGATCTCTCAGTGCAAAAGGCAACTTTGTAGGTTGAGATAAAAAGGAGGCCTGCATAGGACCCAATGTTGTTGACAAATAGCATTGGCAAGCCTTTCGCAACTTTTCTCCTTCTGTGATGTTAAAATTTTGCTTGAAGATCCTCTCCATCACCCCAACTACGCCCAATCTCAACTTCCCCTTCACTGTTTCCGAGATATTGGACTCTAATCTCACTGCAATTTTGTAAAAAAACAAATTAAATCAAGCTAGAAGTCCAATTTTTATACGTTTTTAGACTTGATTAATTTATTATCATCAGACTCAATTGAATTGAGAAGCAGTTACCGTGATCTTGAATGCATTGACAAGATGGTCTACTTTTTCTCCAAGCTTGTTCATCTTATCAATCACTGTACCTACTTTATCCACATCCATAAAAATAAATTATCAAAGACTGCTCTTAATTTCAATCATCTAAAAGTAGCAAGTAACATAGACCTCTAATCCTGAGAGAAATGGCGAGAGACTTACTCTTTTTGAATTTGAGAGATCCATTTGGAGGAGGGGGAATATGGTATTGGCTATCGGGATTGCATAAAAGGCTTTTTGGTGACTTTTGAACTGAAGATTTACAGAGCTCACTGGAATTCCAATAACATGTTCCATTAGGAGCTTCTTCATATATACAAGCTTGATGAATCACTTGAATTTAAAGCTGTCTATTTCTTCCTTGGATTGTTCTCTTCCACTGTCAGAGGTGTATGCAGCCAAAGGTGAAGTGTAGAATGATGGGTAAAACTGTGTATTTTGCAATGATTTATACATGACCAAGTGAATCAGCGACTGAATCTAAAGCCAGACTTGTATGCTACTACGTTCGTAGGTACGTGCTGATGATTATCCAATTCCATGCTCAATTTTATAGTCAGTTGGGAAAGAGAATCTTGACATCATTGCCCCATCAGCGCATCACAATTTTTCACATGTTGAATTTGAACTAGTGTGTGTGTGAGTGACTCAAAGATTTTGATGTGGCATTTTAGCTATTTGACACCAATTCCATATTGTTTTCCATTGTACCAAAAGCAGGAGGGGCAGAGGCGGAATACATCTATTTAATCACTTCTGATCGAGTTGTAAGTATGGAGCCTGAGAGAGCGTCTGTTGAGGATATTTGAAAGTTCCACGATAATTCAAGAATCCCATGAACCAGAAATCAAAATTGTCCACAGTAACTATTTCTATGTACTTCTGTGACGGTCTCTTCATATTTTGGCTTTCATTGGCTCTCTTTATCTTTACTAACGGGGATCACGGCCTGCATGCAATACACATGACTTAGCTACTTTGATATCTAATTAACAATATGGAAATGCTGTAAATATAGATGTGTGTCGACTCACCTTGTAACGAAGTCTAATAAACTCGCCGATTGGAGAAGACAATTTGATGGATCTGTCGCTGAAGAAGGCAACCTTGTCAGTGGAGATGAAGAGGAGACCTGCTATAGGACCAGCTGTTGTTGATAAATAGCATTGGGAAGCTTTTAGCAACTTCTCTCCTTCTCTATTGCTGAAATTCTGCTTGAAAATCTTCTCCACACCGCCTGCTCTAATAATTTTAGCCCCCAAACTCAGTTTCCCCTTCACAGTTTCAGTGATCTTGGGTCCCAATTTCACTGCAATTTTCACAAAATCAAATAAGACTCGCATTCGTATAGAGGCCTATTGGTTAACAACTTGACACTAATCCAGCTGTTTCAGAGTTTATTTCGAAACTTTTTATGTTTATTTTTCTGCCATCTTCTTGGCAGCTAAAGAATTGAGAGCTTATTATGATATATACCAGTAAATGCTAAATATCTATTTATTTATTTATATTTTATTATTTGGTAATGGAGGTTTCCATAGCTTTGAAAATGCTATGTACTTTTTCTTGAAAATAAATAATATATTCTTGAATTTAGTTATTCTAAGACTCAATTGAAGCAAGGAAATAGTTACCGCGCTCTTGGATGCCACTTGCAAGATTGCCTTCTTTTCTTTCAAATTTCTCCATCCTATCTACTTTATACGCACTAGCACTAGCACTAGCACTAGCAGTAGAAGGGTCCTGTAAAATTCTTTTTGGTTCCCTCTCATCCAGATATGCTACCGGTGAGCTGACCAGGGTTCCAATAACACATGCCACCTGTTTCTTCATATTTGATGAATTGCTATTGCTCTGATGTGATTCTGCTTTGCTTTCTATTCCCAGAATATTCTGAGGTTGTCGGAGTCTTAGAGTGATGGTTCTAGCCATGGATTCAGAAAATGTATCTATAAGGAGGAGAAAGGTAGGTTGGTGGATCTTAAACTTTAGTTGGATAAGTCAGGCATGCCTCATCCACATGAATAAAAAGCACACAATTCCATAAACAAATATTGGTGCTGGGAAGGTGATGGTGTGACTGGTTTCTTTTAGAAAAGACAATTGCAGAAAGGTTCGAGTCTTCTGTTTTTAAGGTTTCACAAGACCATCAAGTTATTCAAGCATTCAATCTTTTTTCATTTCTGAAGTAACTTTGGAACCTTTTACAAAAAAAGGAAAAAAAGGAAAAAAACAAAAAAGAAAAAGAAAAAGAAAAAGAAATCATACTCTTTGTGAAATTGGTTAATGCAAGTAAAATAGTAGAATCAGTTGGGTCAGCATTTCAATCATACAACCTTGCATTGTCTGCTTGCTTAGATCTTGCTGACTGTGTGTGAGGGTGTGAATTAAGCTTTTTGAGTTGGCAATTTGGCTTTGTGACAACACCATTCCTTTTTCTTAGACTGTCAGTGGTAGAACAAAGCAAAGGCTATAGACTCCAGACTTGTTAAGTAAACCAAACAGCATTACGAAAGATATAAATTATGCAGTGGTATGTCATCTTGATGATTTGACGGACAATAACATGTCATCTGTGAGAGATTACAAAAAATACCATAACCGCTTAACTAACAACACTATATAAAGTCTCGGATTAAACCCTTCAATTAGTTCTCCTTCTTCATATATGCTTAATAATGGTGGGTGGTGCCTTGATCTGCTGAGCAAAAATAAAAAATAAAAAACAGAAATAAAGTGCAATCCAGGCCATTTTGGATAAGAATTTAGTTGTCAAATTATAATTCCAAAGCAATTATTCATCATTCAAAGTATAAAATTTCATACTTCAAGATTGAAACCCCAGAATTCAAGTTTTTTGTACAATTCCATTGTGAGACTGAGGGAAAACAAAGGTAATTGAAATGAAATTGTACTCTTGAAATCAATCATGTGTTACTTAATTTGGGAGGAAAAGTGACAGTTCAGAAAATCAGAATCTGATAGAATCAAACCACTCAAATGCATTATATCTGGATTGCAACCCTCAATTTTGGCATTCCTTTTTATCTTAGCCTGAGGTGGAACGGATTGGATTGTAGGCCAGGGCAGGGCATATTAAAGAAAGATGCTTCATCGCTTTTCAATGGTCCATCTCAACATGTTTCCAAGAACAAATCTAAAGCCATCCTTGCACACCACTTGGTCATAATACTATATATATTATATATATTCATGCTTTTATTGTTAGTGGGAAGGAGAATCTACACATCATATCCCTATCAGCATGAATTTCCCACAAGTTGAACAACTTTTCCGCTCTTGAACTTTCTAGGTTAACGAGTGTCGTTGATTTGGTTCAAAATTTGTTTTCTAGTTCACTCGATTCAATTATCATAAATTGAAACATAGTCAAAATGAAAAGAAAACATGGTTCTAGGTGAAGATAGCTAGCAAAACATGTAATATGTTAAAAGAGAAGAACCACATTTAAGGTTTAAGGATTTAGATGACACCTTATAGTGTTGTGTATCTTGGACAATATAGTTCAATGTAAAAATTATGGTAACACTTTATCAATATTAAGATTTTGTCGAGTTGAGTGCACTTCAAATATTGAGTAAGAACAAGAGGGATACTTAGAAGGATTCTATTAGCAATGTTCTGTTGGAAAGAACTGGAAAGTTTTTGTAACCAAATGGGCTGGAAAAAGGCAAAACTTCTCACAAACTCTTTGAAAGTATCAATCAGAATTGCTCTGAGAGGAAGATCACTGAATAATAGGAGAGAAGATGAGTGATGAGGGACAGAAATTGAAAGAGAGTTTCCGTCAATTTTAGTAGAATAATGTGAATGAAAACAAAAATGGAATTTTTTTTTTAATTTTTATCACATTCTCTTAAATTCCCCCCCCCCCCATTCTCTTCCATTTTTCCCCCTCCACAAATTCCTCCTCAAATCCAAAATCCAAACAAAACCTAAGAAAATTGCTGGTCATGATAATTGAGGAATCCTGTAACCAGCAACTAAATGTCACATTGCAAAGCCACTGATCCTTTTGATCATGAATTTTGTACTTCTCAAATTATTTTTAATGGCAATTTACCGGTTTCCTTTTCCAACTTGCATTCTTTATATATAATGCAAACAATTCTGAAATGACATGTAGCAAACACAATCAGTGATCCATTTACTGATGATAATTTTTTTTTCCATTGAAGAAAAGCCTAAGTAATAAAGGTGTTACAATATTTATACAAGTTTGTTCTCCTAATTCATACACATCTAATGAAGTAGGGGGGCCGGGGGGTGGAATACATCTGTTTAATCACTTCTGATCAAGCTGGAAGTATTGAGCCTGAGGAAGTGCTTGCTGAAGATATTTCAAAGTTTTGTGATAATTCAAGAATCCCATGAACCAGAAATCAAAATTGTCCACGGTAACTATTTCTATGTACTTCTTTGATGGTCTCTTCACATTTTGGCTTTTATTGGCTCTCAATATCTTTCCTACTGGGATCAACACCTTGTAACGAATTCTAACAAACTCGTCGGTTGGAGAAGATAATTTGATGGATCTGTCGCTGCAGAAGGCAACCTTGTCGGTGGAGATGAAGAGGAGGCCTGCTATTGGACCAGCTGTTGTTGATAAATAGCATTTGGAAGCCTTTAGCAGCTTCTCCCATTCTCTAATGCTGAAGCGGTGCTTGAAAATCTTCTCCACACCACCTGCTCTAATAATTTTAGCCCCCAAACTCAGTTTCCCCTTCACAATTTCAGTGATCTTGGGCCCTAATCTCACTGCAATTTTCACAAAATAATGTAAGACTCACAAAGAGGCATATCATAATCATCCTATTGCTATGTTTGTTTGGTTGACACTAATATTAATACAGCCATGAAGAAGAAAAGAAGTTTGTTTCAATGTTTTTCAAATCTTTTCAGTTAGTTTTTCTGCCATCTTGTTGGCAGAAAAACATGATGTTAAAATTATATCAAATAATTTTGCTAGAAAAGAAATAATTATATTACCTTGCTCTCGGATGCCATTTGCAAGATTGTCTTGCTTTCCTCCAAGTTTGTTCATTCTGTCTACTTTATCTACACATAAGTAGCAATCAATTTGTTAAACACTGCCTCTATTTTAATCATTTAAAACTAGTAATACCAGTAAGTAGAAATAGCTCTTTATTCACAAGAGTAACGGAGTGACGTACTCTGTTTTAACTTCAGAGATCCAATCGAAGAAGAGGAAATTTGGTATCGGCTAGCACTAGCACTAGCACTAGCAGGGTCATGTAAAATTCTTTTTGGTGTCATCTCACCCAGATATGCCACATGTGAGCTGACCGGAGTTCCAAAAACATGTGCCAGCCTCTGTGTCTTCATATTCGATGGATTGCTATTGTTCCGATGAATGTTGTGTGATTGTCAGATCCTTGAGTGATGATATTTCTAACCATGGATTCAGCAAATGTATTTATAGGGGGGAGAAAGGTAAGTAAGTTGGTGGATCTTAAAATTTAGTTTGAGGATGAGTCATGTATGCCTCATCCACATGAATAAAAAGCACACAATTCAAGGCTTTCTATAAAGAAAGATTGATGTTGGGTAGGTGATGTGTCTGGTTTCTTTTACAAAGAGATTTACAGAAAGGTCCAAGTCTTCTTTTTTTAAGATTTCAGCTCATTATATAGGAGAGGGTTTGGGTAGTAGGTGAGGAGTAGGTGAGGGTAAATTGGTGGTAGGTGTAGTAGGTGTGGTAGTAGGTGGTGGTAGGTGTAGGTAAATTCTAACAACAAGTAACAGAAGCATGACCAAAGGCATTTTACTAGAGGCTAAAAATCAGATAACTTTATTTCAAAATTTAAGAGAAAGTGGTATAAATTTGTCGCTTAAAATTCGAGATGGTTTTTACAATTAATGGTTTCTCAAAAATTCCTTTAAAACTTACAAAGCAATGATTCAATCTTTTTTCTTTCCGAAGTAACTCTTAAACCTTTAGTTTTTTGGAAAAGAAAAACCTCACAAAGAATTGGGAAATCATACTCTTTGTGAAATTGGTCAATAAAACTAAAATAATCTAATTAGTTGGATCATCATTTCAATCATTCAATCCCAGAAAGCAAGAAACATTGGCTGCTTAGGTCTTGCTGACTGTGTGTGAAAGTGTAAATTAAGCTTTTTGATATGGTATTTTAGTGCTATAACAAAAAGCAAAGGCTAAACACACCAAACTTGTTAAGTAAACCAAACAGAATTATAAAGGATAATTAAAAGCATGTCATCTGTGAGAGATTACGCGTGTGTTTGGGAAGCGTGGTTGAGGCTAAATTAGCCAGATCACGACAAATTAGGCTTATTTAGCCACTTCACAACAAAGGCTCTCCAACGGGTTAGAGAGGAACCCTTATTCGGGTAAATTGACCAAAACACCCTCAAACAAATAAGAGATTCATTTCGCCCAACGCCAAATCCAAACACACAACACAACCAAAAACCTAGGGCACAGACGAAGCGAAGGAGGCAATTAGTGGCTACCAACGGCGACGACATCTGAGCCAAGCTGTTTGGAGGAGATCGGGCCGGAGTAAGCATCTGCGGTGACGAAGACGACTCGCGAACAGGTCGGCAAATCGGACGGTTAGGCCCTAACGTTGGCGGCGGCGAACAATAGACGGAACCCTCTCAAACACCACCGATCTTCAGGTAACTCTTTGAAATCCTTCTGATTTCGTAGATCTGTGTATGTGTGTGGCCTCTGCTTACGATTCCTATCTGGAGTCCCTTTCTCTTTATACAACGTTAGGATTTTTCCCAAAATTGTGGAAGTGTGGAATCTGTATCTTTAAATTTTTCCATATTTTGTTTTTCCAAAGTTTTTTTTTTCCATTTTGGGTTCATTACAAATCCGGTTCATTACCGACCTATTGAAGTGATTCGTCGTGCTTGAGTTCACACATTTTGGGCACAAATATATATATATATATATACATATATCTGTTCTTATATACAAATCTGTAACTCTGTGCGTAATGAGGGCCGGACTAGGTTGAGATTCGTAAAACACTCTCTTCTTCTTTTGATTTTGTTCTTATAATTATCATTACAAATCTACCTTTTCTCAGATCACAATTAGAAATGAAAATTTTTGTGCTTGGGTTCACACATTTTGTTCAGATCACAATCTGATTTGGGTTCATAGTCAAATCTGATGTTTTTTCAGATTTGTTGATTTTGTGCTTGGGTTCACACATTTTGTTCTTATAATTATAAAAATTACAAATTTCAGATCACAAGTTCGAATTGATGTATTCACTAGCTGAATGAAATCTAATTTATGAAATTGATGTACACATTGTGCCACTGCTACTCTCTACCCATTTTTCAAATAAATTCTGAATCAAATCTGTGAATGCACTTATGTTATTGGGAATGAATATCAGATTCTGGTAAAGCTCTGTTCAGATCCGTAAAACACTCTGTCATCCTTTTGATTTTTTGCTTATAATTATCAAGAAAAATCTAAAATTTCAGATCACACATTCGAATTCATGTACACAAATGCTGAATGAAATCTGAATTATCAAATTGATGTATACATTGTTCCACTGCTACTCTGTAGCCATTTCTGAAATAAATTCTTAATGAAATCTGTGAATGCATATCTGATTCTGGTAAAGCTCTGTTCAAACACATGAAATTCCATTTTCTTCTTTTGATTTTTTTCTTATAATTATCATTAACAATGGAAAATTTCAGATCACAAGTTCGAATTGATGTATACAAATGCCACGACATGAAATCTGATTTATCAAATTCATGTATACATTGTTCCACTACTAGTCTCCAGCCATTTCTGAAATAAGTTCTGAATGATATCTGTGAATGCATGTATGATTCTATTAAATACCATTTGATTTGTCATGAAATCTGAGTCTGTTAAAAAAAGAAGAACGACAAACATAGGCCTCATCCAAAAAAAAGGAAAAAAAAAAAAGAAGAAAAAAATAGAAATTACCATTTGCCACGTCA